AAAATAGCATGTCTGTCAGCCTTTTGGAACACTCGGAATAATTCAAAAATTGTTATTGTTTTAAAAAAGTTTTTATCTTAATAACGATAAGGATTAGAACGTTGAAATTCTATCATAATGTACATCTATACAGCTAGTACATATACTGTGAGTGTCAGTCTCTACGATTTTAAGAATATCTAGGAAGACAATATTACACGAGAGAATCCAAACCTGTGCTATACCCTTTATACGTACCTATATGTGAGATATTCTCGTTGACTACAACAAAGTCACCCGATTGAGTTCGTTTATAAAAACAATCAGAATTAAACACTTTTTCTTCACAACAACCTTGGTTTCACAAAAGAATATTGATAGTGTTCGAATGAGTTAGAAACAAAATTACAGTCATCTCATATAAATAGTAGCATCATATGTTGGTTTTTTCCAAGTTATTTTTCTTTTTTTTCTTTCCTTTCACATTAACGAGAAAAAAGAATATCGTTTATTATACTTTGCATGGCAGTTTTATTCGTCTCATAAAATTTTGTTTTATGGTGTATCTTCTCATTCTTCTACATTTGTTCTTTATTCGTTACTTTTATTTTCAATTATTGACATTTAGTAATTCCATCATATATTTATGTGAATAGATTTTTCTTTCTTTTTTATTGTAACGCTCCGTTATAATTCAAAATTTGTGCTGCTTCTAGAGTTTCAAGGTAGCTTTAAATATATAACAAAAGAGCATAAATAAAAAATATTTCTTGAGAGTGTGGATGTAGGGTGGGTATAGAATTCATATACTACAGTTTCCTTTCTTTTATATACACTCACAACTGCACACCCTGATCGGAAAGAATGGCTAGAGTCATGAAGATTCAAGATATTATTCATCTAGTTGCAATTAATTGTATGTCCAACTTTGAACATTTGTTCAATTTGTAATAAGAAAGAAAAAGATTTCTTTCGATGAAGTATTAAGGCTGAGTGTGGTGAACAAGTAGATTATCCACACTCACGCCCATACTCGTTCATATACTAGTATAACGCTTTCAATAAAGATTGTTTCACTAATGAAGTTTATTATACTAAAATAAATAGAAAAAAAAAGTTATTTATTATTCATCGAAATAAAATTGAATAGTATAGATGTCAGTAAGAAACAAAAATCTTTCTTTCACTCATTTCGATTGACACTTTCACAATAAAAATGATATGCAGTCAATGAATCAATGACAGACAAAAATTTTCGCATTTTTATTGATATAGTATTTCCTTACAACTTGTGCAAATTGACTATATATTTCTACTAAATGACAGTTTAGATTTTACTCTTCAGGTATAACTTTATCAATTATTAGATAATCAAAACTTATGAAGCATATGTCTATAACGAAGGCTAGAGTATATCAGTATACTTAACATACTGGGAATGTTTAGTATTTATTTTTAGAAAAAGAAACTTTTTTCTCTCGAACCATTTCTGTTGATGTAAATAATTATTATTTTCAATAAACAAGTTATTAATGTGACGAGGATGGGTGTAAGTCTGAAGTAAAAGTAATACCCACACCGCTCTGCAATATACAAACAATTCTCGAGTATAATTTGAAAGACATATATGTATCGATGTTTAATTCATATGTGATTTACAAATTTCACGGTTTATCGTTCGAAAAAAAGGAAAACAAACAAAAACAAAAGATATTTTTTAGAAAAATGTCGAAAATGAAAATACTCTACAAAGTGTTCACCGTAGTTCAAGCCTGTGACAATATGTACTGTTAACCAGTAAATGTTCCAGTATTTGTATTAAATATAAGTGATGTATTATATGCTACAGCATTCGCTTGATCTACTGAATAGGTGACACTTGGTCCACTTGCTGATGCTATTAATTAACAAAAGAATAAAAAATAAATCATTTGGAAATGAGAAAAAGAAACATACCTTGTATGCCAATAGTTGCTGATGCACCTCCATCTGACATATCGAAATAGAAGCATTTAACAATATTTGGTAAGTTTTCATAAAATATGACTTGAAAATGATAATATTGTGTTGAGGAAGCATAACTACTTTCATAAAATTCAAAAGTTGTTATTCGATTCGGTGCTGTTCCACTAACAGCATAATAAATTGCTTGAGAAGTACCAGTAGTAATGAAGAGATCATCCCAAAAACCAAAAACTGTTGGTCCTCCAAAACTGCTACTCGATAAGTTACCATTACTATAGTCAGCAGAACAAATACCAAGACAGATAACCTAAAATTCAATGAATGTTTAAATAAACTGCTTTTATAAAAGCAACATCGCTTTCTATGTCATGAAAATCACAATGATTTTAACTGATAGAAGCTAAACAAACGAAATGACTTACACCATTACTTGATACTGTGATATTATTGGTTGTGTAATTGAATAATGTAATATTCAGTGGAAGAGTGACCAATGTTATCGCATCGTCAATGCTGCTAATAGAAGAATTAAATCCAGGAACACCAATAGCACCAGAAAGCATTACAGCAGGAGTTGTACTACATAAACCACCTGAACAACTTGTATAATTGGACGAACAAACATAACCAACTGATCCACAATTATTAAAATCAATTTGTGTATTAACACATGCCCCTGATGATGTGGCAGTTAATCCAGAAACACAAGCAATTGTTGCTAAAAATAATCAAATATACTCAATAAAATATTTCAATATAATCTAGACTTACTGGTAGCTACTGTAGTAGTGGTTATATCCGATTTCAGTATAATTATGACAACAGCGGGAACAACTCCTGCTGCTATTATCAATAATAATATTAGAAAAGCTAAGCAACATTTAATGCATAAACCACCTTTTCTATATTAGAGATAAAGTAATGTATTATTTATATTTATTGTTGGAATATATATATACCTAGGATTTTTCTTTGAAACATTTGCGATATCATTCATATTGACTTTAACATGTCGTGGTGTGGAAGCATTTTTTGTTGAAGGTGGTTGTTTGTCAACCTGAAAACACATGAGAATACGATTTATTAAAGTTGAAGACTTAGTTATAGAAGAATGCAGGGCAAATATGTCTATTAGGAACGCTTGGCTTCTTCATTATTGATGTAGCTTACCTTTACCTGTTCAGATTTAGGTTGATTGTTAACATTGTTATCGACAGCATCCCAAACACTGAGTCGGATTTTGGGATTTATGTTGTTCATAGATAGATGAAATATAGTGAAGACTATTGTAGTCAACAGTAAAATGAATTTTTCATGTGCTTTGTTTCTGATTATATAGAAATAGATGCTAATGGAGTTTTGTTCTCATAGCTACATGCAAACAATTGAAACTGATGCTTTTCAGGTCATGTTGTTCGTAGAGCACTATAATGAAAAAGTTAATTCTGTGTAAAAATAAAAATAAACACATTAGACGTCATTTTTCATTTTCATAATACGTAGAATTGTTTGGTAAGTACGTTTTAGGTCAACACGCACTTTGCAAACAGTGACATTGCCGATAGATTATTGTCAAAAAATGTTGGTCAACAAGGCATTTGATTAGTAATAATATATCGAAAAAAAGATTAATTACAACTCAATACTTTTGAGGATAAGTGTGAGTAAGGATGAGAGTTTCGTTATCACTCTCATATAACATGGGATTTCAATCGTTCATAGCTACTTATAATATGAAATGAAAGACACTGTTTTTGAATCTCTTCGTTTTATTTATGTTGAAATACGTCGTTCGAAATGGTGGCTACCGCTTAAAAGTGTATAACAAATAAAGAGCACGAGTGATTTGACTTGAAAAATATAATATTTATAGAACACAAGTCAATATAGGGTATCTCAAAAGTGTCCTCGACTAGAGTTTTTCTTATATCTTTGCTATTTAATTTGACTATATCAATTGTTTTTAAATGATAGATAAATACATAGAATTTCTCTTCATACGAACGAATTTCGAAAGTATTGCTCGAAGGTATCATTTTTAACTGTAATACAAAATTTTATTCTTTTTTTTCTATTTCGAAAGAATATTATACAGTATTTCTTTTATAGTTAATTTAATCTTTTGACTGATGCTGCTCTTCAAATCGATCAAATCTTTTGAATTAGTTTCACGAATATTTGTCCTCATATGACCGTGTCCAGTGACTGCGAAGAACATGCCATCGATCCATATTTTTTTATTTTCCGATCACCAAACTTGTGTTATTTAAACAAGAGCGAACTGTCTCCGAGGAAATTTCTCAGTTGAATTGAACTTAACTCACAAAAATCTCGCAGAATTTTTACTATATGATTGATTAATATATATGCATATATTTATGTGATATGTTTTAAAAAGATTGAAAGAACGAATGTGGAAAAAAAGGTGATGAAAAGAATGTCGAAAGAATATATATTAAATTTTTTCATTAGAAATATTGTGATTTTTTGATCAATGATTGTTGAAAGAGAACGAAGTATAATACTTTCAATGAATTTTATTATAATAAAATGAATAGAAAAGAAAAATGGTATTTACTATTCATTAAAATAAAATTGAATAGTATAGATGTCAGTAAGGGACAAAAATCTTTCTTTCACTCATATCGATCAACACTTGCACAATAAGAATGATTTACAATCAATGAGAGACAATATTTTTATTGATATAATATTTCCTTAGAATTTAAACTAAATAACAGTTGAGATTTTGGTCTGCAGGTATATATAATCGATATCTGTTCGTCGCTGAGATTGGTAAAAAACATAAAAATAATTAGATAATCAAAAATTATAAAGTATTATTTAAAAACATTGTAGAGTTTACACGATGCAACAAAAGTTATTTATGATCTGAAAAAATCGAGAAAACTCTAACTCTTATTGAAAATGTTGAGTGTGGATGAGATGAGTGCCAATATTAATCAGACCCACATCCACCCTCAAGAAGTCAGATTAAAAAAAGAGTATGAAATAGCTAGTGAGGATGGTAATGATAACTGAATTCCAATTCTCAAACACATAATAACCATCATGTTTCTCTTGACTCAACTGATTTTAGTGGAGAGAATTTTTATTCGACTGACTGATGTCTATTGTTTTTCCATTGTTTGAGTAAATGTATATTGTTAGTCGATGTCTAAGACACTATTGATATTACTAAATATGTGATGTATATAGAAAAAAATACAATTATCTACTGTTATTTAAGACATTAGTAGTGTTACTAGCTATATCAATGTCAATACTAGTTCTTTTCTTCTATATGACTTGTCCTTTTTTCTCAAGTATTTTTCCTATTCTTATCTAACCGTTTTACTCATTCAATGACATATACATTAGAACAACAGAATGTCTTTTCTATGTTCCTATCTTAATATACTTGTCGATTTGTCTTCTAACTTTCTACATGAAGGCTTTTGTTGTTGTAATATTACAACGCTACTTATCAATCATTGTAGCGCATACGTACTTTTTTTTCTTTCTTCTTTCTATCATTGTATTTGCTTTGCTTTCTATCTCTCTCCATATTTCTTCTTTTTGTATATTAACAAAACATTGAGTATTACCACAAATACTCTTTTGTTTTATCGAACAAACTCAACATTTATCATTCACTTTGAATGATAGAAGATTATATAACAATAGTGTATAATAATGGAATTATTTACATTAACAACTAATATAACCATAATTGATATGGAATGGTTTATATATCCAGTTGGTTTATTTCTCTTCCTGTTATGTTTATTTACAATTGTCGGTAATATGCTCATCATCTATGTTATTATCCATGAATCGACATTACATACATCGAAATATTATTATATTGCATCATTAGCATTTGCTGATCTGATCGTAGGTTTGATCGTTATGCCATTTGCTTTTATTTTTACCTTAATCGATGATGAATATTGGTTGATTTCACGATATCTAAGATTTCTTTGTGATTTTTGGCATGCCGTTGATATCTTTGCATCAACAGCATCTATTCTTGGACTATGCACTATTGGAATAGATCGATATATAACAATTAAAAAACCTATTCAACATCCAAATTCATTCATATCAAAACGATGGTATTTGATGTTGTCATTCATCTGGATATGTTCAGCGTTGATATCATTTCCAGCAATCATCTATTGGGGAACGAAACATTCTGTTTCTGGTATGTATTTTAAAAAAGACTTTTAATGGAAGTGTGAGAAAAAAATTATTTCACATACATCTTGTGATGTCATTTAGATAAATCAATAATGTCAAACGATACACTAGTAGTATCATCATCACTACTCGAACAATGCGGTATGCCCAACAATTCCTACTATATCCTGTTTTCATCTATAGCATCATTTTATATACCGTCAGTATTGATGATTTACGTTTATATTAAAATATATTTGGCAGCGAAAAATCAAACAGTTGCAATTCATTCTGGTTACATACGTCATCATCATCTTATTAAATTTCATTGCAGAAAACCATTAACTAACGAAAATTCAGAAATAACGACAGCTGATAGAAATTCTCCTATGGAAAGATCAGATCTCTCATTAGGAGATCATGAATTATCGAATGATACAATTACTGTTCGTATTCATCGTGGTACATATCAAAAACCTACGACTGAATCGCACCATCAGGATAATATCCATAAGGCTACTTCACGAAAATCGAAACGAACAAAAAGAATTTGGCGAATGTTATCAAACACTCCAAAGGCAACAAGATTCGTCGGTATTGTTATGGGTACATTTCTTATTTGTTGGCTACCTTATTTCATCTATCTTGTGCTAAGTGGTGCTTTTGGTGTACGTTTGAAAGATGATCAACATCATGAAGTATTGTACAATATTTTGTCATGGTTTGGTTATTCCAACTCTGCATTAGACATTGTAGTTTATGTTTTCACTTCAACAGAACTACGAACAATCTTTACGCAATTATTTTTTCATTCATATTGTAGCAATAGAATCACTTCATAAAAAATAAATTCAAAGAATTCAATTTTCGGTTAATTTTTGAGGGCGGATCACGGTGCCGATATGAATAAAGATGTGAATATGGTGAGAATAAGTGTAAGAGAGCAGATTGATATATGTATATATGTTTTTTTATACTCTGATCGACATTTACACTGATGATCTATGAAAAAATCGAAAAAAATGCTAGAATTAGTAGAGTCAGCATGGGTGTAGATCTTCTTCAATATCAATACTCATACATCAATATCCACATCTATATCCACAATTAATTTCAACAAAATCGTTGTCATATTATACCACAATCGAGCGTCCTCTATCAGTGATTCTTTTCACTTTTCATGTACTATTAATGCTCACCTATTTCAAATTAAACGCGAGTTAAAAATCAACTGTCTCACGCTCTTATCCCCGGTGAAAAATACTAAAGCGATCTTTTCAACGATCAGCTACGAAGCTCTCTATCGCTGATCCATTTGTACATCCAAAGATATTCCAATCTCAATGCAGGATCATATTTTACATCTGTAGATTTTATTCTAACAAATTATATCTTGAACAGTACTTCTCCTCTCAGTTTTCTTCTTTCTAGAGACATATTATCACTGCGCATAATTAACTCAATTAGTAGACAGGATATCGATCAATGCCTATTCATAACATACATGATGTTTCAAATAACATGATACAATTATATATAACTTCATAGTATACTATAATCTCCCTTCAACTATCATAAATATCACCATAAAAAATGCGCACACCTGATTAGTGGCACGTGTGCATTATAAACTGACCCAATTTATATTGTTATAATACAAGTCATACATAAAATGAAATAATTCGATTTCTATTTTCTTACGACAACACCAGAAAGACAAAATTTTGCATATATTCATCAATGATTTTTTTAACAATGATCAGTATGTTGTCCATACCAAGACTTAATAATTTGTCACTCTATTGTTTCGTTCAATGAAGTTATCGATTTCAACCATAAGTTCGCGTTCGATATGATTGCCAGAGAGATGCAATGTCGTAAGTGTCTGTGTAAAACAGTGCAAATAGATATATGAGATACATGACGAAAACAATGATATTTACCTTATTATTCCGTAACACATCTACTAGATGCTGTGCTCCAACAGCTCCAATATAATTCCCATAGAGATCTAATATGGTAAGTGTCTGTATGAAAAAGTGCAGATGCATACAAGAAATAGATAAAGAAGAGAATTATATTTACCGTATTATTTAGTAATCCATCTGCTAGATGTTGTACTCCACCATCTCCGACTTCATTCCATTTGAGATCTAATGTCGTAAGTGTCTGCATGATAGAGTGCAAATGGATGTATGAGATAGATGTAGACGAAAATGATAGTTACTTTATTATTTCGTAATACATCTGCTAGATATTGTGCTCCAACAGCTCCAATATGATTGGTATTGATATTTAATGTCGTGAGTGCCTGCATGAAAAAGTGCAAATAGATGTAGAAGATAGCTGAGGAAGAGAATTATAGTTACTGTATTATCGCGTAATACATCGGCTAGATACTGTGCTCCAGCATCTCGGATTTGATTACATCGCAGATCTAATATGGTAAGTGTCTGTATGAAAGAGAACACATGGATGTATGAGTTAGATGTAGACGAGAATGATAGTTACCTTATTATTTTTTAATCCACCGGCTAGGTACTGTGCTCCAACAGCTAGGATTTTATTGTTCGAGAGATTCAATGTGGTGAGTGTCTGTATGAAAGAGTGCAAATGGATATATGCGATGACTGAGGGAGAAAATGCTATTTACCGTATTATTTCGTAATACATCTGCTAGATACTGTGCTCCAACAGGTCCGATATGATTGACATTGATATCTAATGTAGTGAGTGTCTGCATGAAAAAGTGCAAATAGATGTGGAAGATAGCTGAGAAAGAGAATGATGGTTACTGTATTATTTTGTAATACATCTGCTAGATAGTGTGCTCCAACATCTCCGATTTGATTGTTCGATAGATTCAATGTGGTCAGTGTCTGTATGGAAGAGTGTAAATGGATTTATGAGATACCTGAGGAGGAGAATTATAGTTACCGTATTATTTCGTAATACATCTGCTAGATGGGTTGCTCCGATATCTCCGGTTTTATTCCATGGTATATGTAATGTGGTAAGTGTCTGTATAAAATAGTACAGGTGAGCATATCGAATAGTTAAAGGGGGACGGAGAATTACTGTATTATTTTCATAACACGTTAGTCAAATCTTTCGAAGAAACATGAGGATGAAAAAGTGCGGTTTTTCTTATTTTGCAGGATGTGGGTGGGATATTTACTCTTTCTATTCAATTCACACCCACACGCATGCAATCAAGAAATGAAAAAAACTAGCAGTCTGCAATATAATATTAGATCTCCTGCGACTGCAAAACTTATCAGATCAAAATTGGCTGATAGATTTCGCCTAAAATTTGTGTGAAATTTTCCGTCTCTGTTAAAAAGTCACTCCGAGCGCAAAAGATATGTGAATAATAGTCCAAATATACGGGTAAATGTAAATCCTTCTTTCCTTTTTTTTGTAAATATTACACGTGGCTGAATGAAAATGAAGTGAGAGCAGTGATTATTTTTATGCATGTTTTCATATTTCTTTCACATTGGTTTGGTACTATATATGAATTGTTTAAAGAGATTAATACTTGACGAATTAGTATGCCTCATCATCATTCTATTCACTCATATCATCCTAGATTTATGGACTGGAAGAACGAGAAATAATTCGAAGGTAGAAGAAAGATAGACAATCATGATTAAAAAAGATTTACCTGATATCGATAGTAACTGTCGACGATTGTATTAAACCGTTGACACACATTTCGCATTGAGAACAGCATTGTAAAATCATTCTGAAAATCCAGAATTCGGTAGACCAGTTCTACTGGTAATGTAAAAAAAGTATCAGGCATTTTATTCGACATTAGTTAAAATTATTGCGATAGCCTTGTGTAACGTTTTATATTGGTGAAATAAAGTATGTTGTTGCTGTGCCTCTTTCGTTTTATGTGAGTTTATATTTGTAACATGTCATAGATGTCTTATAGTGCTGAAATTACTTGTATGAAGAAAGAAAATGCAAAAGAATGATGATAAAAGCTGCATTCAGATAAGAAATAGAGTCTGTTTATTTGATGATTCAAGTTTAGTGATAAACGAATATACAATAGAGACGACTATTTTGTTCTTAACCGGATTGGTCAGAGTCCGAATGAGAGCAAATCAACAGTTTCTTTAATAAGATCATCTTAAGGATGTAGGTGTGGGTACTCTGTTCATCTCTCATCCACACCATAAAGATAGTTCGACAGACGCATCTTGAAACAAAACAAAAAACATAATAAACAGAGATCTGTAGAAGCCCCAAAAACTCACTCCATTGCCGTTGAACTCAATATTAAAAGTTCACGCCCGATAAAGTTTTTCTGATTCACACATCAGTAACTTTATTGTTCATATTAATAAAAAAATGAAAGAGAACACTTATTACATAGATCTTTAGAGAAGCTAAAGAGAGAAACATGAGTTAATTGTGTTTTCATATGATATTTGAAAGGCGGATAGATGAAGACGTTAAAATAGTGTTGTAGCAGAGATCCAAACAGGCCTAGTTTTGGTAGACCTGGCCGTCCTACCACAGGCTTTCGACCCCTCCAACATGCCTGCGCCTGCGTGTCCAAGCCTGTCCATATTTTTATACAATAATAATATATTATAATCAAACAAAAGGAAGAGAAAATCAATAGTAATAAAGTTTGATCATCAATTTTTGATGACAAATTCATGCAAATAAATATGAACTAGATAAATTTAATATTTATTCATCTGATGTATCATTTTTAAGTGAAGAACAAGCACTATGTTCTAGGAAGAAAAGTGAAATTCTTATTATAAAATAGCAAGAACATGATAGACAGGTGGCTTGTGCACGTCAAGGAGCCTGCCTGAGGTGTGTTAGGCTTTGATATAACGACCTATGCCTGTCTCAGGCAGGCAAGTGCGGGCAGGCCTCACGGCAAGGGAGCTGTGGAATACTCTGAAATCCGATTATAACTCCGACTCCAACTCCGTTGGAGTCAAAAAAAGTTGATTCCGCAGGTTCCTACTCACGATCTATTTGGACGTCTGTGTTGTAGAAAAACATTCAATCGTAAAGAATATTTGAAAATGTTGAACAATATGATATACGTTTATTTTGTTCGAGCAATTCAATTTATAGAGATTAAAAGTTGTTTTTACTAAAATTCGATGATTCAGAGAAGAATATAGTATCATTATGTTTATGTTTGCTATAAGGTGTGTTATTCATATGTCTTGTCGTATGATTGTGCAATAGCACATTACTCGCTCGTTTAGAAAGGAATATTTTTAAAAAAGTATCGAATTATAGTTTTACGCATATCTATCCGACCAGTTATCGACAAGTAAATATCTTCGTTATTTTCATTTTGTTAAAAACCAAATTGTATTCGGTGAATCCTGTTATGCAATAACGGACAAACCGAAAATTTTTCTTTCAAATAAAAGAAGATAAATATTTGTTGAATTTTTCTTTGTTAAAATCGAATATTCTAGATTACATATTTTCATGAAACTCTTCAGACAACATCAACAATAGCGAGGTGCGTTTAGTTTTCAATGTACTAACACTTCTATTCATTACTTTATTTTTCATTGAGTATAGAAACTAAACAAACCTTCGAATTCCAGCAGCATGCAACGTATGCATCATGCATCATCTGGACGGTACAATTTCGGTTTTGCCGAAGTCAATAGTCAGAATCCATTGGTATCTTTTCCTCGACAAATATCTGGTGATCGAGTGAAAATACTTCACCAGCAAACTCATGATGCTATTAAGATCGCGAGTGAATGGGACAATGATAAAAGTCGAAATAGAAATGAGCAGAATTTAAATCCTATTATCCATTTAAATGTTACTTGTGATCGATGTTCTATGTCACCAATAGAAGGCGATCGTTATAAATGTTTATTTTGTCCAGATATTGATTTTTGTCAATCGTGTAAATCTGTTAACAAAACAAATACGAATTTCAATCATTTATCAAATCATCCATTATTATGTATTAAAAATTCAAATGAATATTCTCAGTCAGTCTACGTACTTAATCGTAATCAATTATGTCATGAGAAAATTCAATGTAATTTATGTTTTACGAAACCAATTATTGGTATTCGTTACGAATGCTCTTGTGGAATAAATCTATGCGAAAAATGTGAATTTATTGGTTTACATGATCAAAATCATCATCGTACAAAAATAACTACACCAAAATAATTCAATTAACTGATACTTCCGTAAAACATTCTATCCAATGTTTCATTTTTAATTCGTTACACTTGTCTTGTCTTCTTTATTCACTCTCAGTGTAGGGTGTGGGTATTCTATTCATTCCACACCCACATTCACGCCCTTCTAGAGGAAAAATAGTATGACAACCTATCTTTAGATCAGTGTGAGACTTTTACAATGATAGAATGGTAAACAGCTGAGATACTTTAAAAAAATTAGTATCTTTTAGAAAAGAGAACATAATACAATTCTTGAATTAAACATTATACATATTGCGAAAAAGTTACACAGAAAAAAGGCTTTGTAATAAGACTTCGATGTAAGTTTATCAGTCAAAATCATGATTATCGTAGAGCACGGTATCAGTATTGTTCACTAGACCTTGTTCATTGTAAGTGCTTGAGAGATGACGTTGAGTTGTATGCACAGGTGGAGGATTAAGAGCAACATCAAAAATACTGTTACTTCGTGGACGAGGCGATTCATCAGTTGTTAAATGTATATGTTCATTTTTCTGAAACAATTCAACGATGTTGTCTATGCATGTCTCAAGATCAATCTTCTGGTCACTGAATGTGTTAAGCAAAATCTTCAATTGTTGTCGTTGTTGCTCCGTCATATTAACAATTGGTATGAATAATTGAATTACACGACATTCGATTAAATACTAAAATTTTGAAAGAGATTAGAATCTATGTTTTTTTCTTCCTTAATCTTTATGATTTGTTAGAACAGATTGAAGATTAACCATGTTATTGGCCACGTTTTCGTTGTTCTTCAGATTTTAGTTAAAGGTTATTCTTCACTAAGTTTTTGTCAACTTCGTCATTGTTATTTTATTTCTGATTAATAGAGAGACTAACAATCTTTATTATTTTTTTTGCGATTTATTGTATCTGTTTAAAGTACATTGAGAGTGTGCATGAGTGTACTGTGGGTGTGCATGGGGAAGTGATTATCGTTCTAACTCACTTCCACACCCTTAAGGCCTCAAAACGTCTTCCTTTCTTTCGGTATTTGATAAACGTTGTTATATCAAAGACAATCAATTACATATTCTTTAGAATATCATAAAATTTGAAAATTCCGTTCAAATTTCTTCTTTCTTTATTGAATCATAAAGAGATCTTGTTCCTCTATACACCATAGATATCATAGATTTAGGAAGATAACCACCCACATCTACACGCTCGTACTCAGAAGAGTTAGAGAATAATTATGAACAAATCCTTTTCTTCACACAACTCAAAAAACTACCAATTACAGAATCCATAATTCCAATTTCTATCTGTCAAAACTTGTACACAGATTGATTTCGATATTTCTTTCGCTCTACAATATCCTGCGTTCTTCCTTTGGGTCGATGTAATTAGTATCAATGGTAGATTCAATCAGAATGATTTTCATTTATTTCAAACAAACAAAACAATTACATACAGGACTTGGATACCTTCAACACATGAACAGATTCTTCAATGATTAACATTTTAAACACTTTATGATATAATGAATGTGATTTAAAACATAACAGACTTGATTTTTCTATGTGTAACAGTTATTTTCTATCATTCAGCTTCATTTCGGCTGATATTGTGTGATATACAATATATATGACTAATGTTATTTTGAATTAAATAATGAGGTGAGTTGAACAAGCTGCAACGTATCTTGACGAGAGCCTCATCAAAAGATACAATGATCCTTTTGCTTCTAGATAAGGGTGTCGACATGGTTGTTACATTCTTTGGACAATCTCACACCGACCCATCTTTTATTTTATCCGGAGAAATTAAATCACATGTAAGAACGGAAAGAATAAACAAAACTATTTAAGAAAGAAACAAAAACAAATGTTGAATCCACAGTTCTCTCCTCGTTCAATTTGTATCTATTAGAGTTTCTTTGACTTAGATTTGAGATTCAACGAAGTTCCGAGAGAGTATTATTGAATTTCCATATGTTTGACTGATGAACCTTAGACTTGTACTAAATAAAAATCCTCAATAAAATAAACTGTAAAAACAATCTTTCAATACTTGGAGAGTTTAGATAGTTCTGTAGCTGCAAGAAACGACTTCCTTCCTATAGTAGACGGTTTTAAATCACATTTGATAATTTATGCTTCGTTTTTCTCTAGAGATGGATAAACAATGCTAAAATTCAGCTTTCACAAGATGTTGAATTAAGATTTTGAAATTACTTTCATTAGAAATAAAAGAGAGAACTGAGCCGAATAATAGAGTATTTATTGAATTGATTAGTTAATGAATTTTAGAGATTTCAAACTTTGTTTTTTTTTTAGTATTTTTTTAGTTTTCTTGAATAGATAATGAAAAATGGTCAAAAAGATAAAGATAAAAACAATAAAAGATTGCTATTTCTACCGCAACTGCACAATTTGCAATGCACTATTTTATCTTAGGGAATGATGATGATAGCGGTGGTGGTAGCTGCTCAATTTATTTAGTGTTAATTAGTTCTGTATCCCAACGTTAACAAAGCCCAGGCAAGTGAATTATATCAGCACCTGCAAAAGACACAGCTGCTCGAGCATAGACACGGCCGGTGATAGTAACGGTTGCGCCGACAGTGATTGAGGCTTGAGCAAGTATATGTCCCATGAAGGAGCTGTTTGCTCCTAACGTTGCGCTGCTTCCTACTTGCCAAAAAATATTATTGCTTTGTGCACTTTTGCTAAGAATAATGTTTGTATGCGCAGAAGTAATGAGCGTAGTGGCCATTAGAAAGATGAACTGTGCGGTGGAGTCTCCCTGAGCATCGAGAGTGAGAGTCCCAGTCTTCAGTGTAAAAACACCTGAGCTAGTGCAGTAGACACCTGGAGACAGAGTCATACCTGATAAATCCGGGTTAACCAGTGTGTTGGTACACGTAAGAGCTGTGAGGCGTTCATAAGCGATCTTTTCGTCGGCTGCACAGTTTACCGCTACTTGTGTGTTCGCTTCCTTCTTGTAGTTCACACCTAACAATGGGATACCAGCAATGATCACGCCAGGAGCGACACCCACATCGCCACAGACCGCCTGATTTCCCACTCCATTGAAGGAAAGGGCAGTGCCAGCTTGAATAGCAAAATTAGCACAACGACCGAAAATAGTTGTACCGGTCACGTATTGAGTAGCCGCATCAGAACTGCAGACGGTAAAGGCAATAACAACAACCATGAGTGAAACACGAATAAGTGAGATGAAAGACATCATTGAAATGAGAGAGAAGTGTATGTGTGCCTGTATGCCTTCCGAACATCATTATATATAGAAGGGAGGAGGGCAAGAGAAACATACCGATGTGGGCGATGATTATTAACGAACGGAGGACGTGGCAGATAAAATAAAAGAAAGTGGTTCGACGAGTTGATACTTGATACAAGAGAGAAAACTGAATATTTTCTGTACTTTTCATGCCATCGTACCGATTTAACTCGATATAAATAAAAGTACTTTATAGTGTCCTGCGCAATTCACTTCGATGAGCTGGTACTTGATACGAGAGAAAAAATAAAACTGAGTATTTTCTGTACTTTTCTTGCCAATGTACTATTTTAATTCGGTATAAATAAGAATAATTACCAGTGTACTGCGCAATTCAATTCGACGAGTTGGTACTCAAGAAAAAAGAAAAAAGAAAACTGAGTTTTTCTTGCCACTATACCAACATATTATTATAATTTGTATATTATATATAAGAAACACAAGACCAAAGTATACAAAAGAAAGTTGGTATACTGAATTGAATGAATCAGTTAATTATCGAAATATATCTTGAATAAAGATCTACTAGAACTATGTTGAACATTGATTAATTTTCGGTATTTTCTCTTCAAACATTTGATCACATAATTAGAAAGGAGTTTTAACTAATTTATGATTGATGTTGTCATAAATCCCAGATGCTGACGACATCTAGAAGTTTATAGATGTGGGTTTAGACACTATCATTACCTTCGTCTACCCTCACACCCACCTACTCTCAAGATTTTTTAATAATCATCTTCTTAAAACATATTCAAATAACAATTCTATTGAAAACCATCAAATTTCAAAGAAAATCAATTCACCTATTATAATAGTACTGTATAAATCTTAAATTTTCAGTTTTTTAATTAATTAACAACACTATTTGGAATTTAGAAAAAAATAAAGAAAAAAAGCATCAAAAATTGATAAGATATATTTTTCTTTCGAAATATTTTGTTAAATTACCAAATAAAAGATATTGTTAATGAGTGATATAAACGTATTTATTTAGTCATAATAATCTAGTTTTATTATAATGAAAAGTGTTGTTGCAAACCACAAGTCATCTTCAAAAGAATTATTGGAAATTGCTTTATAATATTCTTGCATAAAATAAATTGACAATAATTCTATTGAAAAATGACTCCTAATGAGAGTTGAAACCTCTACGTTATCAAATAATATTTGAAAAATTTTTGATTATTAAAATGATTTATTAAGAGATATTGTCGTATTATAACTTTCAGTTAGATTCGATCAAAAACAACAAATACTCTCGTTTATATTTATTTAATTGAAAATCAATATTTTGTACCTATTTTTCTATTATTTTGCTTCACTTTTTAATAATCTTTCGTGAATATATTATATCAACAAAGAAACTATCGATATTGATTTTCTTCGTTACACTATAGTTTATTCAATAACATTTAAATGATTAATTGTTTTCTATAACATATATCATCTTATGTCTGACATAGTAGATAATACTAAAAAAAAAGAAAACAAAGTATTCTGATACTACTTCTTATCATTTCAAAGATTTATTATTCAAGAACTACATATATTATTCATTTCTCTTGTCGTAAATCATCGAATATATTATGTAAAATATCAAGTATTTTTTTGAAGTAAATTTTCGCTTTGATGAACTAATTACACGATATTAAATCTCTATCAGAGCGTTCTATTTCGTATATAATATTTATTAGAAAAAAAAAGATTCAAATAACAATGGGAACAGAGTTATAATGACATACTGATGTACTTTTTTCAAAATAAATATATTCTTTTTATTTTTCTTGTCCTATTCATAGGCAGTTTCTAATAGTACTCGAAAAATACATATAATGGTTCGATCAATTATAATTGTTGACAATAGTCGCCATCCATTTTTTCTTATGCATTATATATACTTAAAAAAATAAATTCTAAGTCTATTTATTTGAATCAAAAAACATGTTTACGCGAAAAACTAGAGATAATCGTTTTTTTATTATTATTTTGTTTTTACAATGTATATTTCGTGCCCCAGATCAATCGCCAATATCCTTATCGACAGCAATACATATTTTTTCCAATGATGAAGACATAGGGTAATTGATTTATAAGTGAATTTCAATAATGAATAAACAATATGTTTGCTATCGATATACCGCCAAGAGATTTATACCACGGTCTTTTTAAAGTATAAAATCATTGGATAGAATTTTTAGATTTATAATTGATTCTTAGAAAAAATGTTCATTTGATGAAGTTAATTAAATAGAATATATTTGATTTTATAGATCATTTAATTTCATCATAGTACGTATATCAGTAGAGAAGTCTTGATACAGAAACACACCACTATATCCCCATTTAGATCTTATCACTTTTTTTCATTATCCTCTGCTCTTTTCTGTAATTCGATAAATAAATAATTAAAAAATTTCGTATATTACTATTTCATTTCTTGATTAAGTTAAAAATCTATTATTATATTTTAGAAAAATCAGCTAATGTCTAGTAAACTTTCATTTGAATGTCATGCTTCACAAAAAGCAATTGACCGAATTCTTGCACAAACTGATGAAGAACGTTCTCAAATAATTATCGATATTTTTGATAAATATTTTGGTGATGGAATTAAATCTAATCCAACAGCATTTCGTGGTCGATTCAGAAAAATGGCTGCATCATCATTCAATTTTTATCGTGGATCAGCTCTTTTATTTTATCAAGATTTAAAAATCGATAATGATCCATGGATTGCTGGTCATGAAGCTGCTGGAAATATTTTTATTCATGTAAATATTCTTTTTAGATTGTTTATTTTCTTTATTCAAAATATAATTTCTATTTAGGGTGATTTACATGCTGAAAATTTTGGAACATATTTAGATAATCATGGTATATTAAATTTTGATGTGAATGATTTTGATGAAGGATATTGTGGTCCATTTACATGGGATATTAAACGTTTATTAGCATCATTAAATTTAGTTGCACATAGTAAAGGATTTTCTGATAAAGAAATAGAACAAATCTTACGTACATGTGCTGAATCATATTTAAAACAAGTTGATGAATTTTGTCAACAACCAAATAATAGTTTTTCATTAACATTAAAAAATACAAGTGGAGCAATTAAAAAAATTTTAAATGAAACTCGAATTAAATCTCATGTTGCTAATCTAGAATCAATGACGGTTATTGAAGATTATGATCGACGTTTTATTCGATCAAAAATGATCAAAGATGTTGATGAAAATTTACGACAAGATATTATAAAAGTATAAAAATAATTTAGTAAATTTACTTTTTATTTCTTCTATTTTTTTTAAAGGCTTTTACAAGTTATTTGAAAACAATTCCAGAATATAAGAAAAAAAGAGATAAAAGTTCAGAAAATTTTAATTATAATATTAAAGATATTGTTGCCCGTTCATCACCTGGTATTGGATCAGCTGGTAAAGTTTCCTATTCAATTTTAGTTGAAGGTCCAACAGAAACACTTGAAAATGATATTGTTCTTTATATGAAACCAGCACAACGATCAGCTATTAGTTATGTTGTTAAAAATCCTGAATTAGATAAATTATTTGAACATGATGGTTTAAGAACTGTTCTTTGTTCATATGCAATGCAAGCATCAACACCACAATGGTTAGGTTACACAACTCTTGGTTCAATTCCATGTTTAGTTGATGAAGTTACTGCACATTCAGAAGATTTAGATTGGGATGATATTAATGATATCAAGGATATTCTTGAAGTTGTTACATTTTTAGGACAAGCGACAGGTGAAATTTATTCGATTATTTTAAAATGACAATAGAATTTATTTGTTTATTTTAGCTAAAATACATTGTGTAGCTGATTCTGATTGCGTTAATACACCAGGTGATATTTCTTGTTTACCCTTTTCAATTATTCCTCAACATACAGAAAAAACAATTCGAGAAGCTATTCAAGGTCGTGATCAAGAATTTATTAATGATATGGTTCAATTTGGAATGGTTAGGAAAAAAACAACTATTATTGCTTTTTTTAATTCCTCTTTTATTTATTTTAGATATATGGAAAATTAGTCCGTCGAGATCATCAATTATTCTTCGAAGCTTTTCGTAACAAACATATTCCAGGACTTCAATAGAGTTTTCTTAATTTGATTTTTCAGTGTAGTGTAATAGTCATTTATCTATATAATCATATCTTTATTATAATATCAAGTACAAATATTAGATTTTTATGAGGATTAGTTTATTCGACTATTATTTGTTTTTCTTCATATGGGTGCAAGACTACAAAAGATGTCTTTACCCACGCACACCCAGATTGTAATGTCCAATTTCATTTCCTTAATACATTCATTTGTAAAGGTATATTCACTGGTCTTACTGTATTTAGTCTTGCCGGTTGGTGACCTTTTCTTAGACGCATGAGCATTTCCGGATAACAGAGAAGACAAACAAAGGGCAATAAAAGATGAACGAATAAAGCAAAATAGCTTATGTAATCCAATTGAATTTGAAGGGCATAAACTGTATAGAATGTATCCATCAAGCTGAATACCTGTAGTGGGAGCCAGAATAGTAAGTAGAGCGTGGATATCGTTACGAGCTGTAAGATCATTCTTCGATCACGTTTCCATTTGAAAGCTTGTAAGCGCATTTGTCTTCTTTTAAACATAACTTGGACCAAGACTGCAGTAGAAAACACAGGAACGGTCAGAAGGGGAATAAAGGTGTTGAAAACAAAATCGTAGACACTGAGTGACCAGCTGCGAAAATAACAAGGCCAAAGACATGTTACTTGTGTGTAGTCATACATACTCGTACAATCGACTAAGAAAAGGACTACAAAATAAAACATACCGGTATAAACAATAGTGAAAAGTACGGGTATATAATGTACAATCATTCGTTTTGTCCGAGATCCTCTGATCCATCTGGAGTGAAATATGAAAACATATCGTTCCACTGTAGCACAGGCCATTAAATGAAGATTGCATACACCTGTGAAGTAATCTACCCATGTCCAGATATTGCAGAATATATCACTACTAGGTATTACATAAGAACGATATAGATAGGCTTGATACATAGGTAAATCAACGACGATGTTAAAAAAAGAAACGATAAGAAGACATATAAATGTTTGATCATGCATCGATTTACGTAATGTACGTCGATGATAGACGAAGAAATTGTAGAAGACAAAGAGAAAACAAACAAAAGAACATAATTGCAGACAAGTAAAGAAAATGAATTTGATATGATTCACAAATTCAATGCTTTGCAGTTCTTTGCTGGATTCTGTAATGTTGCTACTGTTGTACATGGCTTTACGAGAATAATAATTTGCGAACGTGTATTAGAGATTTACATCGAAGTAATGAAATGAAATGAAATAGTGCTCTTATGCAGTTCTCTTGTTTAAAATAGGCTGCATAATAATCTTTGACGTTGTTAATAACTCTGACAGTAGCAATTAATTTCTCTTATTATGCATAAAACATCACGTAAGTGAATAATGAACTCTTATGAAATAATGGAAACTCCTCATTAGTAAACATAATTGAAATATAAGTCAACCACAATAAGATTACTTGAAATATTCCATTAATTATAAAGTTAATAAAAGTTTAAATTTTTAATACAATAATTGCGTTTTTTGGGAAAGGATAGTTGGATGTAGATGGATTAAAGTTGAGTGTATTACGCTCATTCAGACCCTACATAGTGATATTTACCCAAAAATATATCTAGTTTAATTCGATCAGTGAAAAGATATAATAAATGTTCTTATGTTAGAAAAATATACTAAAAATAGAATTCGAATTATTGTTTATCACATGATTTATATTGATTACATTGGTCACTTAAAATATTTTTTCATTTTTAATTTTAAACAAATTCACATGTCTAGTAAATTACAGTATTTATTCAATAAATGAATATGACTGAGTTTATTGTATCAAGATACTTTTGTTTACCTATTGAAACAATTATCCTATTGACATTTTATGGAACACGAATCCAAAGAAGTGCTGATGCAAATGGAATATGTATTTGAATCCACTATCACGTGTTTCTTTTTCTACAGATCGAGTTGAACAGCTTCATGGATCGCGATAGAAACTAGCCAAAGACCATTACAGGTCACAGTAGATATTATTAGTTAGTACTAAATGATGAGTATTCTAATAATCTGTGTTAACTCTTGGATGTTACCAGAACAGACATTATATATAAGGTGAAGTAGTTTAAAATTTTAGCAGCTATGCCAGGTCTCACATTTTAAATTTACAAGGATAACGTTAACAGCTTTCAAGCAGTCAAAAAAAAGCAATCATTATTGTCATGTGCAATTAATATCGGATGAGGTACCATATTTATTCTTACAAAAAAAAACTCCAGAAGTACTTTTGAAATAATGACATGTTCTGTTTTTATATTATACATTAAACTAAATGACTTTGTTGTTCCAATAAAATAATTGTTCTCATTATAGTATAATGAGAAATAAATCAGAAGCAATATAATCTTATTAAATATTCTTCCTATATATTGATTATTATAGTAGTTTTTACAAGAATAAATGATTTTTTTAACATAATACTTCAATAACTAATAGTTGTCTAAAAAGTGACTGTTACATAATTCCAGCTAAAATTTACTAGAAAATATCTTTCGAAATGGAATGGAGTTTCATAGTTTTAAAGTCAACGATATTGTTATCGATGTATATGTAATATCATTTGTAAATTTCATCATATTGACCGGAAATTGAGAGTGAGTATTAGATTCATCTCAGATCCTCACTCACACCCCTTATTTTCGGTCAATACATTGTATGAAGAAAGTGAAGCTTTCATAAACATCCTTGTGTTAATTATTCTAATAGTGTGTTAGAAATGCTTACTTTAATTCGTAAGAAGTTATATTTTATTTCTGAACTAAAAGTTTGCCTATTATAATATAGATAAAGTTCGCGAACTGAAAGTTTGTCTATTACAATATAGATTGTTAAATAACGTCATTTGATAAAAAGAAGTGTAATTATCTCTTCGCTCTTTTTAGCGTCAGAGCGAGAAAGGAAATGAGGTGTAATTAAAATCAGTTTAAAGTTGTTTAATGTATTCTTTTTCTTTTCATAAAAATTAGTTAATATTTCTTGAAAATACTTTCTATTATTCTATAAATTCAATTGGTCTTCAAATTACACTAGAAACAAAAATTATTGTTTCAATAGAAATAAACAAGATATTTATCAATATCAAATTCACTTCTGATTAAGAAAGAGAAATGCAAAATTATTTATAATTTTATTTCATTAGATTCAAGTGGTGTCACAATAATGTCGATAATGAAGTTTTTCTTACTACTTTGGCTTGTATTTATGAAACAATCCAGCACACAAAATATACGTTCATCCCACATGTCTACAATGATTGGTTGGCAACTTCATTGTGTTAACAAAACATGTGTACCATGTACTACTGTCATTGTATTGAATATATTTGAGTGTCGAACAGCTTGTTTAGCAAAATTTCTATGTAAAGCAGCTACTTATCATCAATCCACTTCGAATTGTGATTTATTTGTTGATTTATCAATGTACAACGGTACTATGTTGCTTGATATGAATATTGTTACTATGATTGTTACTGATGGAACAAGAATTCCACCCGGTTAGTAAGAAGATATTTAGAAAAGAAATCTTGTTCAAAATACATAAATAAGCATATATACAAGAGAACAAAGATAATATATCAATGAAACTTTTGATATCTTTTGTAATTAAAATATTTTTATTAACACTGGATTGTGATTAAATTTCTACCTTAGTTCTTTTTATATTTAGAATCTGAAGTGAATTGGGTAATAAACGGTGATGCAGAGACTGGTCCTTGTCAATCAGGTAGTGGTGTGACGCATCCAACAGGTTGGTCTTATAGTGGAACCATTACACAAATGTATTATGGAAATGTCGTTGGAAATCAAATGCTTACAGATCCAGGACCTAGGTAAAATAGGAGTGTAGAAATAATTCGTTTTAAAGTTCTTTTTTTCTGTAGTAATCGTGGAAATTGTCATTTCTATGGTGGAAATTCGGCCTCAACTACCATGTGGCAAACTCATAATATGACAAATTCAATCAATCCTCTTCTTATTGATAGTCAAAAAATTTGGTTTGATTTCTCCGCATGGATTGGTGGTTATTTGGATCAAGATGATAATGCTCAAGTATCGTTAACATTCTTAAATCAAAGCAATCAAAATGTAGGTAACAGTACCATTCTTGGGCCGGTATTAGCCGTAGATCGTGGTAATAAAACATCATTAGTGTTTCGACAAGCTATTGGGCCTGTACCGGTTGGTGCTCGTACATTCACAGTTAAAGTGACTATGACACGTGCAAGTGGTGTGTCCGATGGCGGTGATATCGATAGCATTGTACTTTTCTTATATCAATGAACAAGTACTACAATTATATCACATACATTTAAATTGTGCGTTAACTAATATTCTGTATAATTCACAAAAATATACACCTCACAATTAATTAAATCCTATATTGTTTTACTATGTTTGAAATAAGTTTATCCTTGTAACTTCATATATGTTAGTACCTATGATGAATCACTTGGCGTTAACTAGGAATTAAGCTGTGGGTGTGGCTGTGGATGAGTATTCTTCTCATTCATTACTCACATCCACACCCACTCATACCCTCATGGTTTGTTTGTGATAGAACTTTGCAACATTGTAGTTTTGTATTTTATATTGTATATTAAGCTAATCAATAAAAAAAACTATTTTGCATATAGTATTTATTGAATAGATTAGTAAATGAATTTTAGAGTTTTCAAACTTTGGTTTCTTTTTAGTATTTGTGAATAGATAATGAAAAATGGTGATAAAGATAAAGATAAAGACAATAAAAGATTGCTATTTCTACTGCAACTGCACAATTTGTAATGCATTACTTTACCTTGGGAGATGGCGATGGTGGTGATTGCTCAATTTGTTTTGTGTTGATTAGTTGTGCATCCCAAGATCAACAAAGCCCAGACAAGTTGATAGCATTAGCACCCGAACAAGTTACAGCTGCTTGAGCGAAGAGACGACCAGTCACATTGGCTGTGGGACCGACTGTAATTGAGGCGTAAGCAAGTATTTGTCCAATAAAGTAGCTATTGTCTCCTAACGTTGCGCTGCTTCCTACTTGCCAGTAGGTATTATTGCTTTGTGCACCATTGACAAGAATAATGTTTGTATTCACAGAAGTAATGAGCGTAGTGGCCATTTGAAAGATGAACTGTGCGCTGGAATCTCCCTGAGCATCGAGAGTGAGATTCGTAGCCTTCAGTGTAAAAACACCTGAGCCAGTGCAGTAGACACCAGGAGACAGAGTCATACCTGACAAATCAGAGTTAGCGAGTAAGTTGGTGCACGTAAGACCTTTGAGGTTACCATAAGCGGTGAGTTCGTCGGCTGCACAGTTTACCGCGACTGGTGTATTCACTTCCTCTGTGTAGCTCTCACCTAACACTCGCATACCAGTAATGCTCGTGCCAGGAGAGATGCTCACACGACCGCAGACTACATAGGTTTCCACACCGTTGAAGGAAATGGCACTGCCAGCTTGAATAGCAACATCAGCACAACGACCGAAGATAGTTGACCCGTTCACGTATTGAGTAGCCTCACCGGAGCTGCAGACGATAAAGGCAATAATAACAACCATGAGTGAAGCACGAATAAGTGAGATGAAACGCATCATTGAAATGAGGGATAAGTGTATGTATACTTGTATGCCTCCCGAACATCACTATATATAGTAGGGAGAAGGACAAGAGAAACAGACCGATGTTGGCGATGATTATTAACGAACGGAGGACGTGGCAAATAAAACAAAAGAAAGCAGATTGACGAGCTGCTACTCGACACAAAAGAATATAGAAAACTGAGTTTTTTTCATACTTTTCTTGCTAGCGTATTGATTTAACTCGGTATAAATAGGAATAATTTCTACTGTACTGCGCCATAGAATTCTACGAGCTGTCACTCGATACAGAAGAATAAAGAAAACTGGATTTTTTCTATGCTTTTCTTTTCAGTGTACCGATTTAACTCGGTATGAATAGGAATATTTTCTACTGTACTGCGCAATAGAATTCAACGAGCTGTCACTCGATATAGGAGAATAAAGAAAACTGGATTTTCTCTATACTTTTCTTTTCAATGTACCAATTTAACTCGGTATGAATAGAAATAAATTCTAATGTGCTGCGCAATTCAGTTTGACGAGCTGTTACTCGATACAAGAGAATAAAGAAAACTGAGTTATTTCTGTGATTTTCTTGCCAGCGTATCGATTTAACTCGGTGTAAATAGAAATAATTTCTACTGTACTGCGCAATAGACTTCGACGAGCTGTCACTCGATACAGAAGAATAAAGAAAACTGAGTTTCTTCTGTGTGTTTCATTGCCACTGAATCAACATTTTATTATAGTTCATATAGTATATATAAGAAACATAAGACTAAAGTGTACAAAAGAAAGTTGGTTTACTAAGTTGAATGAATTAGTTAATTAGCAAAATATAGCTTGAATAAAGGTCTACCAGAATTATTTTGAATATTTGTTCATTTTCGGCATTTTCTCTTCAAACATTTAGTCACATAATTAGAAAGTAATATTAACTAGTTTATGATTGGCGATGTGATGAACCGCAGATCCTGATGACATCTAGAAGTGTGAGGATGTGGACACCATGATTACTTTTGCATACACCCGCATCTACGTCTCAAAAACACAAAAAGCTGTTTAATATTTTTTATTAGTTTTTACTTTTTTTTTTGTACAATTGACAATTTTTTGTTATTACAGCAATGAAAAGACTGAGTAGAAAATATACTTTGCTTTTTAATGATTGTCTTAAGAAATAGTCAAGTAACAATTCTATCGAAAACCATTAAATTTCAAAGAAAATCAATTGATCTGTTTTGAGAGTATTGTATAAATCTTAAATTTTCAGTTTTTCGATTAATTAACAATACTAATGAGATATTTAAAAAACAATGAAAAAAGGAGCATCAAAAGTTGATAGGATAAATCATCAAATCTTGTTTGAAGGATCCAGAAAAAAAATAACAACCAAAATTGGATTAGGGACTTTTGCTTTCATATGAAACGGCATGTGAATGAAGATATTACATATTGTTATAAATAGATTTGCAAATAGAAATTCGATCATGTAACTGTAAATACTACCTTATTTTATGTTAACAATCGAAAAATGATGATATTGAGGTGAATCTTCATTATTTGATATTTTTCTTTTAAAATACTTTCTTAGATTAAAAAAAAGACGATAATTTTTGGGTAGCAAAAAAAATTCAAATTTACCGGTAGATAAGCTGATTTTATCAGCAGAAGAAATAAGTCATACTTATATGAAGATTAATTTAGTATACGAAAAATAAATTCGAGTTAAATTAGAAATTCAAAAAATGAATGGAAAAAAATGAAAATTCATCTATTGTACCAGCAAAGTAGGTTTAGGATTTGCTGGCCTATCCGTTTTCTTTTCTCACTGATCCGCGCTGTTTTTACTAGTAGTGATAGTGTTATAATATTTCGAACTCGAATTAATGTAGGTATCTATTCACTATCGTTAATCACACATACCCTTAATACCAGAACCACATCAAGAGAAAAAATGTTTGTAAAAAATACTGAAGTACGAAGAAAAGATATATATACATATTATACTTGTCATCTATACAACGTACCGAATAGAAGCATAAAAATAATGAACCATCGTAGAACACATCGACTTTTATGCTTACTATTTAATTTAATTTGCTGGGTTTTAAATATCTTGATAAACCTGATTATTTTAACAGCTGACCACTTAAATGATAGCGTTATAATAATATCTACTAGTTGTAAAGTGTTATCGTGACTAACATAATTAGGTAAAATGGTTTAAAACTTCAGCAGCTATGTTGTGTGCCACATTTTCAATCTACAAGAACGCCGTTAACAATTTTCAAACAGTAAGAAAACCCAGTCATTATTGTCATGAGCAATTGACGTCTCATGAATTACTATATTCAATTTCTCAAAAAATTCCGTAAGTACTTTTAAAATAATGGCATTTTCTATTTCTATATTATTATTATACGTTAAACTAAATGACTTTGTTGTTCTAATAAAATATTTTTTCTCATTATCATATAATGAGAAATAAATCAAAAGCAACACAATTCTGTCAAAATTTGTGTCTAGATATCGGTTAATATAATGATTTTTACAAGACTAAAAGATTTTTTTTAACATAATACTTCAATAACTAATAGTTGTCTGAAAAGAGACTATTATGTAATTCTAACTAAAACTTACAAAAAAAGATCCTATGAAATGGAATAGTTTCACAATTTTAAAGTTAACGATATAGCTATTAGTATATATTATATATATAATATCATTTGTAAATTTCATCATATTGACTGGAAATTGAGAGTGAGTATCAGAATCATCTCAGATCCTCACTCACACCCCTTATTTTCGGTCAACACATTGTATCAAGAAAGTGAAACCTTCATGAATTTTAAGTCATATAATAAAAAAGTGCAAATATGCGTTCATTTTTCTTTAGCGTGAGAGTGAAGAAGAAAATAAGACGTGAATGAATTCATAGTTTAAAGCTGTTCGATATTCTCTTTTTTATTCTCATAAAAATGAAATAAAATTTCTTTAAAAAAACTTTCTATTATTCTATACATCAAATAGATTGTCCAGTGACACATATCACCTTCTTTTAATTTCACCAAAAACAAAAATCTTTGTTTCGATAGAAATAAACAAGACGTTTATCAATTTCAAATTAACTTTTGGCTAAGAAGAAAATAGATGAGCACTATTTTTCATCAAACTAATGTATATTAGTTATAGAATAAGAAAGAGAAATAGAAAAAGAGAAATGCAACACTATTTATAACGTTATTTCATCTGCTCGAAGTAGTATTATAGTCATGTTTGTAATAAAAATTTTCTTACTGCTTTGTCTTGTTCTTATGAAACAATACAGCGCACAAAATATACGTTCATTAGATATGTCTATAATGACTGGTTCGCAATTTCATTGTGTTAATACAACATGTTTACCATTTACTACTGTCATTGTATCGAATATATTTGAATGTCAAATAGCTTGTTTAGCAAAATTTCAATGTAAAGCAGCTAGATATCAACAATCCACTTCAAATTGTGATCTGTTTGGTGATTTATCAAATTATAATGGTACTATGATAGTTAATATAAATGTTATTACTATGATGGTTACTGATGATACAAGGAATCCACCAGGTTAGTAAGAAGTTATTTAGAAAAGAAATCTTTCAAAAAATATATCAATGAAACTTCTGATACCCTTCGTAATTGAAATATTTTTATTAACAGTCGGTTATGTTTAAACTTCTTTTTTTTTGAATTTCAGTACTCTATAGCATCTAACTATATTTCTTTTAATATGACTGTTAAAAATTATAAATGCACAGAAACAGACATAAAGCGTAAGTTTTTCAAATGAATGGCAGCTGGTACATTGTACTGATATTATATTTTTTGAATAAGATTTTTATCTTAGTTTTTTTTTATTTAGAATCGGAAGGCAATTGGGTAATAAATGGTGATGCAGAGGCCGGTCCATGTGAAGCAGGTAACGGTTTGACATATCCAACATATTGGTCTCATAGTGGAACGAATGTACAAATGTATTATGGGGATTCCAGAGGAAACCAAATGCTTACTAGTCCAGGACCTAGGTAAAACAAAAGTATAAAAATAATTTGTTTTGAGATTCTTTTTTTTGTAGTAATCGTGGAAAATGTCATTTCTATGGTGGATGGTCGGCTGTATCTACAATGTGGCAAGCTGGTAATATGACTATTTCAATCAATGCTCGTCTTATTGATAATCAAGAAGTTAGGTTTAATTTCTCTGCATGGATTGGTGGTTATTTATATCAAGATGATAATGCTCAAGTGTCGTTAACATTCTTAAATCAAAGCAATCAAAATGTGGGCAACAGTACCATTCTAGGACCTGTATTAGCTATAGATCGTGATAATATAACATCATTACTCTTTCGACAAGCTACTGGTCTTGTACCGGTTGGTGCCCGTGCGTTCATAGTTCAAGTGACTATGAAACTTGTAGCAGGTTCGGACAATGATGGTGATGTCGATAATATTGCACTTCTATTATATCAATGATGACGTACTACAATTATACCACTCACATTCGTATTGCGTGTTAACTGATGTTCTTTTTAATTCACTAAAATTATCGTTTTAATATCTTTTAAATAAATTTATTCTTGTAACTTCATATGCGTGTGTCGTTTTGATAGAAAAGAGTTTCTATAAAGAAAGGTACTAATATGTAAATATAATGAGCGTGGATATGAATATCTTCTCCATTAAATACCCACATACTCAAGATTAATCTGTCTGAAAGTGCCATTAAAATCAACAAAAAAATTCCTGATATTTTTGTGATCTTTCATGTCTTCGTATACTTTTACAGTATACAAAAAACATATAAAACTCGATTTGAGAGAATTTCTAAAACACAATTGGAGTAATCAAATGTAAATAAATTATGAAAGAAAAATGTCTTATTCATATTGAAATCAATGAATTTTCCAACTAGAAGAAGGAAAATCAATCATTCGTCATATATATTCTGAACTTATAGGATTCTGCACGAAAACTTCACCAATCCAGAAAATGAAAACATGATTAAATACAAGTACATTAGATTTTCAATACTATTACATATTTTTATTGAAATTTTCTAACATAGTAACAATAATTAGAGAAGGAAAAAAAATTAAACAAACACATTACTAATATGTACAAATATTAATAAGAATTTTTTAGTTATGTCGAGTTTTTAGTGTCGTTGTTCCAACTATGTTCGATGGTTTTTTTACACGACGTAATAATTTTAACAACCACTTTTTAAAATCAGGAAGTAATCCAAGAGACATCCATGGAAGTAAAAGACAGACTAAATATGTGAGATCTGATACAATGTATTCTCCAATTCCATATAAATAATCTGATGGATTTATCTGTTGTGAAAGACCAATAATAATACTCGGTAGCCATGTTACCAGATAAAGACTTGAAATACTGATCAATTGTAATGTCATATGTCTTTGCTTTGACCATGAAACAGTTCGTTGTCGGCGATTTTTCTGCTTAATAACTCTTATGACAAGTATTATATTGCCTAGAATAATAGCCATAATTGGTAATCCAGTATTCACTATCCAATCATATCCAGCTAATATTGCATTATTTGAAAAATAACAAATTGTATCACCACACATATTCAATGTAAAATTCCATTGTGCATCATCACA